GTTGTATTGTTATCTATTTAATTGGATAAAATAAATAAGAAGATATTATATTATTTTAAAATGTGACTATTAATGTGTCTTGCATTACGTGTACGCCGTCCAATGTTTGTTCTTATCATAAGAGGCATGATTCAAGCATAAAAATTCTCTCCAAAAAACAATAGTCGTTTTTGATTGAAAAAGTTCATAGATAACATAAAACGATAATGTTTCAAAGTAAAATGAATAATGTGCCAACTATTATATTTGTTTACTCTAAAGTTATAAGTGTCTATAATAAAAAATGTATATCAACCAGAATATAAAAATATATTTTTTTTTTCGATTTTTATTATTATTTATATTATATTTATATTTATATTTTTATCCGCTAGAGGGCGCCACCGGTGTAACTCAGTTTTTGTCTCTAAATCTCTAACTAACATGAATTAGGTCCATAATTTATGATATAAACCCGCTCACCGACATTCTCTATCATTTAAAAAAATTTGAGCAAAATCGGCCAAGCCGTTCTCATCTGATGCTACTTCAAATTTTTTGTCTCCATTTTTATATATAAAGATAATAATATGTTAACAATATTACAATAAATAAAGTATTAGATAATTGTTTTGATCTTGGGTAAAATGTTACAAACTTAGGTTAAGTATGTTTTTTTTCACGTTTTATTGAATTAAATTTGGTTACTATTTGAATATTTTATTATCCAAATATATAATATCATATAGTATTTTCATATTATGTATACTTACTAATTTTATTACATAATTTTAAATAAGCCATTTTTATTTGGTATTAAATAAATTGTTTATAAAATTATTATAATAATTATAAATCTATTATGACAAATAACAATCTAAAATCTTTTTCTTCATTTCAAGATTTCCAGTTAAGACATAATATAATAGCAGGTATATTATTATAAAATGTAAATCACACTTTTATACACAATACACATATCATTGTAGAATCATTACATTCATCATTAGTATACTTCATCATGTAAGTGATTGATTTGTTATGAATACTATGATTAACTTTTTGCTTTTATTATTAAACTATTAATATATATTTTTTTTACCTAGTCGGAGGTCTTCGAATCGTGTGACTGTACTTTTTGTGGATGGGATCATTTAATATTTGTACTAAATCATAGATTCTTAACCTTTTTCGGGCCATGGACCCCTTTGAAGTATAAAATATAATCACGGACCCCCCCTCCAAGAAAAAAATAAAATATATAAATAAATAGGTAAATAAAATTTTTATTTTAATATTTAATTTTTTTTAATGATAAATCTAAGACTTAATACTATATTCAACTATTGGGAATTATCACTTTTTTTTATAGCCAAAAACCAATTTTAATGTGACATTTGCTGTTGTTTTGATTGTAATATTGCTTTGAAATCTGGGATCGTATTGAACAGAGTAACACGCATATCGTCCTTAATGTCCAATCAATTTCTTGCTTTTTTTTAATTGTGACCATTGTAAAAAAATCCAGACTCACAGAGATAGGTAGTAGGAAATGGAATCAAAAATGTCATTGAAATGGACACAGCTCGTGGATAAGCCTTTGTCAATGAACACCAAAATTCGATTAAATTTTTTGTTTGAAAATCGTGGTGTGCCATTTCTTTTGATCTTAAATCAATTAATGTGTCTTTAACGAGGTCTGAATCATTAATTATATTTAATTCCATTAGAAAAGGATTGCGTATCCATGTTTCTGATTTCGAAAATGTAGAATCGAAATAATTGAATGAAATTTAAACCAAATTAATTTTCAAGCACGAGCGGGCAAGGCATTATTAATGTTATCTTAAAAACGCTATCAAAACAAATTTATTTTCGCGTAATCCAAAAAAACTCACAGTCACCCCGTGGACCCCTGAGTAACCATCTACGGACCCCCAAGAGGTCCATGGACCCCCGGTTAAGAACCTATGTACTAAATGATCTAGTGAGCTGGGAAGAGGGGGTCGCCTACAACGTCACTGTCTTTTAACTCTATGTTCTGTTTGGAGACATGGATAGTTTTCTGCTGCTTCAGGGTGACTACAATTTCAATTTTTAGGTACAATGAAATGTATTATTGTTTCATGGTTATACTTACTTGACAATTTCCTGATTGTAGACTAGTCTAATAGAAGAGGATAAATTTCCAGGTGAAAGGACTCTTTGAGAAATTGCTTCTCTAAAGAATGCTAATGGCTTATTTATTGTTTCAGGCCTATGGATATGCTTCCGGTTTAATGAAAGGTGACCTGGATTGTTTAAGTTAACAATAGCTGTGGCAGGGCAAAATGGCCAATCATTATGATTTTTTCTGTGGCAAACTAAATATCTTTAAGAACATAAAAGATAGAGGTGGTTATTTCAATTATAGTAAAGTTTTAGTAATAATTAATTTTATTTTTCTAATCATAATTTTCATCAGGTATATAGACTTACAAACGGTTTCTTACAGAACTTTTTTTATAGTACTTAAAATTTAAGTTGTCCACATAAATTTGAGATCCAACCTGAACTCCTGGAATTATGGTGTAACTGTGTAAGTCTCGGGATTTTGTTATACTGGAACTATGTTATTTAATTTAATATATATAAGTATTAATTTTTATTACACAATCAAAAAAAATATTTTAACAGAAAACCAATTTGTTTTAGACAAGACAACAGAGGTTCTAAATTAATTCACCTTCATTTTCTCCGTCGGATAAGACATCATCATCATCAGACTCGCCACAACTTAGTGTCTCTAGTTCATCAACAATGTCTGGATATATAACTAAATTAGGTGATAAATAATTAAATTATTTTATAACACTTATATATTCTTATATATTATATATATTATGTTTAAATAACTAAATAAATAGGTTATTAAATGTAAAGATACATGGTAAAAATTAATTGTGATCTAATAAATGTAAATTTCTGTCCACTTGTTGATCGTTCATTTTTTTTATATAGTTTTAGAATAATTATACACTTAAACAATTAGGTTAAGTCAAAAATGTTTTGTCAAATAAAGTCACTTGACTCACTTGTCATTTGTCAATGTATTAAAAAAAAAAAAATTGAAATTACCCAAAAATGTTGCACTCACTCCATATAAATAACAACAATAGACCAACTAAAAATAGAACAAACTGTATCATATGATAAACTATAGTTTTATCAGCCATTATCAATATTCTGACTTGGTTAAATACAAAAATATAATTTTCTGTGTTTTCTGTTCAAAATAAGTCAATTTGAACTTGCACATAGCCAAGGTCACTTAATATCTACTTTTCAACCACCTATTACTACATCTTTATTGTATATCTGATTGAATGCTTCTAAAGCTATGGTTCATTAATCATTTGACTGACCAATTGTACTATTAAACACTTCAATAATTTTAAAAATTATGAACTTTCAAATCAAAAGGAAATATATATATCACAATAAAATAAAATATTAAATAATTTGCTAAAAAAATGACTACCTACACTATTTTCTAATAATTTAGAAAAACGTTTTTTAAAATAGAAAAAAAAATATACATACATTTATATAATAATTTTCCTTTTAATATAAAATATTTATTATTTAATTATTTATTATATAATATAATATTTTGTCTCCAGGAAGAATTTCAGAGATTGTCCACGCTGTATTTCAAGTGTGCGGTCTCTATCTAGTAAAACGAATAGTTCGGGATTTTTGTTTTCAAGGTTGGTACCACGATATGACAGAGTTCTTATCATGATTGGGATAACTGTATCTTGCCGGAAATAAACATTGTCGGTGTTGTTTTTATATTCCTGTCTCCATGACTACGAATAGAACCAAAAAAGTTTTCAATTGGATCTTGATTAAAATTAAAAAAATTAAAATTAAAAATTAAATTAAAATTAAAGCCTCAATCAAAAAGTCGTTTACAAAAGTGCATAATTCCCTTTATTGTCTTTATCCAATTAGAAATCGAAGGAACAATTGATTTATTTGTATTTATGTACTTCATTGAATTGAGAGTGATTAATGCTTTTTGACAAAAATCCCAATGAGACGAGTTTCTTGTAACTGCACTTCTTAATTTTTTTCCAGGTTCTGGCTTAATGGAGTTACCGTTTGCACTATCAAATAACTTGTCCACAAATAAACACAATTGTCCTGTACTTTGTGCTGAAGCATCAAGGCCCTATAATTTATATATTACTGGAATTTCTGTGAAAATACAAAAATATATTAGAAGTTATAATTTGTTATTAATTTTACAATAGCCTATAATGGATTATACTATAAACCTTATCTCAGCAAATCGTTTCATGATTGCTCCAACGCGTTGACTAAACATTTGAGCTGCATTAGAAACCTTCATTTTTTTCAGTTTAGCTGGATACACATGACAGTCAGTCGGTTTGGGTGTTAAACGATCTCCTTCTGTGCTTTGCTGTTTGTCCAGTTCATAAAATTGTATCATATGTTTCCAAGAAGCCGCATGGCTTTTCCACTTATGTTCAAAATTTAAATCTTTAGAGACTAAATTATTCCTCAGACCTTTAAGCAAATGTGGCACATCATATAAAGGAACTATGTCATGGCCTCCTATTTCAAAACCAAATACTGTAAACTCTTGACCATTATTTTTATAAATGTTATTAGGGTTTTTTTGTAATCTATTAATAGCAGCTGCATTTGTGGATGTTTGGTCACAAACTGTTGAAATAAATGTGACCCCAGTTGATTGCACAGCCTCAATAACATTTTTAATAATTTCTGATAATATAATGCTGGTCATTCCACTACTGGTAAGGTAAAAAGCAACTGGTTGTTAAAATTTCTTCCTGTATCCTCTAACCATAAATACCAATGCTTGTCGGCAAAATTATTAGACATATTATTTTCACCCAGATCATCAAATCCAACTATATTGCCTTCTTGTGCCATATATTGTAATGATGCTGATAGTGCGATTTCGTCAAAAATAACTGTGCAATAACGGTCTAACTTATTTTTAATTTTTGAACTGCATTCTTTAAATTTTTAAAAATTCTTTGGTTAATTCCTGTTTGAAATGGTATTTTCTTCAACATGTCCGTGATACACTTGCACGATGGAAGAGCAAATACTTTAGAAAGCATCCTGTAAGCTTTACCACTCTGCTTATATAATGACAATGCAAATACTTTGTCGTCAACAATTGTTGCGCCACTGCAAATCTTACGATTTGGGCAGTTGTTTGCCGTGACTCGCATAGGTGATGAGCAAAGGGTGACCAAATCATAAACGTGCGTGTTATACCTCATTTACAAATTATATTATACGATGGCAATATACTGGTATCATATGGTGGACGTCTCCACACTAATAATTATTCATACTGCATTTCTCAACCAATAGTACAAAATAATATAAAAATGTGCCACTGGGACACTCCACTATACAAATAAGAATTACAATAATAATACACAGGGTGTCACCAGGGCCATTTACAATATATAAATAATAATAATATAAAATGGTACAGTATTATAAGTATAATAACGAAACGATACCAATTAAACGGCGTCTGCATCGACGAGGATTTAGGGCACCTTAAATAGCCGATGACAGGAACGCTGAACAGTCGGCCTTTTCCCACGAATTATAGTTCGATGTTATCCTTGGTCTGGTGGTGGCCGTTCTTACCACGTGGTATGGTGGTACTCAATGCCGGCTGGATGATCACGACCGAAATTGAATATGGACACGCAAAATACTTTAATATCGGCGACCGTCAAACACCCACAATACCACGTAGGGTAGGTTTATACTGCACCGGCCGACATAAGGGTTTGACCGAATAGTGCACTAGACGCGTGAAAATGAAATATACACATACACGCGAGGTGCGTCGTGCATAACGCGTACAGGCAACAAGTACAAAACCGACAGAGCCAGTACGCCCCCGGCGACTCGTCAATTGCGTCCGTTGTCGGCGGCGCAGCATGACCGATTGGGGGGAATGACACTGGATGGCCAGACTGGCAACACCCGGAGCTGTGACTGAAGAGGGGTAAACTGATCCGCGCCAAAACAGTGTCGGTGTCTAAACATCCTCCCCTCGTGAGGCTTCGCATCACCAGTAAAGTTGCATGACGTTACATGCCAATATCAGCCTGAGTATTGAATAGTTAGTTGATGGCTGGGTATGGAATCAGGCGGAGAGTAGTCAGCGGGTGCACCAACGCCCGACGTCGATAACATACAATGTTCATTTACAGTTTGTATAAATAATAACAAAAAAAAAAAAAAAAACAAAATTAAGGACATACCGTACAACTGTATAATTTCATAAAAAGAGGAAACAAAACAAAATAAACATAATTCATAATTACACAAAGATTAATGTGGTCACCAGAGTTTTAGGACTCCCGGAAGGTTCAATGTTTCTAGGGGGTCATATGACAACATACAATAATAAAACAAGAGGTGACGGATGTACAATGAGAGCAATGCTCGACGGCGACTGTCATTCAACGGGTAGTAGTACTAGCTTAACGACAAGTCGTGTTATATATCCCGTGCTGGTCAGCACCCGCGCAACACGGACAATGTCGTCAGCCCCTGGGGTTACTTCCATGACCCGGCCCAGCCGCCACATCAGCGGGGGGCTTTGTCAGGGATTGTCAATAATTACCACCATATCATTGACGTTTAAATTAGGAGCATTTTGGGTAAACTTAGACTGCTCCTGAAGAGTGGTCAAATATTCGTTCAACTATCGTCTCCAAAACGCCTAATGGCTTTGGTCAAGTAGTTTCCACCTATCCCGGAAATTTGTTTGGCATCGGGGGTGGACCTCGGAGGAACGGCTATTAAAGGCTGGCCTATCAAGAAATGACCCGGCGTTATGCATTCCAAATCGCGGGGATCTGTGGACGCAGGTGTTAATGGCCTAGAATTAAGCACCGCCTCTATGCGCGTCAATACCGTGGTAAATTCTTCGAACGTAAGAACATGAGTCCCGATAACTCGAACCAATAGTCGCTTAGTGGACCGCACGGCGGCCTCCCACAGGCCCCCGAAGTGAGGAGCACTCGGGGGGTTGAAATGCCACTCAACTATAGAACGCGAATTTGCAATAGCAACTTGATTCTCAGGGCTATTTATTAAGTTGTGCAATTGTTTATTTGCCCGACGAAATTTGTGCCCCAGTCCGAATATATATAGCTAGGTAAACCCCTTCGGGTGACAAAACGGTCAAAAGCCTCCAAAAATGCCTCGGTAGACAGGTCGGAGACTACTTCCAGGTGGTGTACAGCCTTAACAGTGAAACAGACAAACACGGCTATATAGATTTTGTACATGCGGTCTTTTTGGAGCCCGAGATCCCGCATTTGCAACGGCCCAGCGAAGTCGACACCTACGAGGGCGAATGGCCTACACCGCTGTACTCGAGCGGCTTTTAAGTCGGCCATTAACGGTTGAACCGGTTACACATTCAGCCGCACGCACACGGTACAACATGACATTACTCCATGCAGCACTGACCTGAGCGTGATTACCCAATATTGTCGCGAAATCAGAGCTGTCATGACTCGCGGTCCCGAATGACAAGTTAGTTTGTGACACCTTTCGCATAATAACTTAGCGAAATATGACTCTTTTGCCAATAGGACGGGATGCTTACAATCGTATGTTAACAGGGAGTGTTTTAAACGACCCCCCTACCCAGATCACCGAATCGGCGTCGATAAGGGGCGATAATTTTGGGAGGAATACGATTCCGCACGTTTTTTTTTTTTTTTTTTGAACACGATTCTCCATGCCTATCAATATAAATTTTAACACTGTAAAAAACTCGTACACAAGCGCTGCGTTTTAACTAGACAGTTCTGACTAGACTAGTATACTTTACCATCGCCATACTGACAACACCAACCAACAACTATATTATGGGTAATTTATCAAAATAATCTCGTCATTACGAGATTATCGTTATAATGTTAGGTAGCATAACAAATATTAATCAAATCATATAGACTCGGATGCTCGGTAAATTATGCTGGTTGACATATAGAACACATTTTTTTTTATGTATATTGTTATCTTTATCGACTTTATCAAAAGACCCGACTTATCTTATTTTCAATTAGTTTGAACTTGAAATTTCGTGGTAAATATGGAAAAGTTCAGGTCCCTAAATAATATGCACTAATTGTATCAATCTCATGTTACAAGAATAAACACGCGGAATCGCATTCGTTACATGGCAACGTCGCATTCGAATACAATACGGAGTTGGGTAGAAAAAAAAGGTAATATAGAACAATGAACGTGCGGAATCGTGTTCTAAACATAATTTTGATAGTGATTTCGACGAAATACGATGGCTGTTCAATAGCTCGCGTCGCGTTGAACGCGTTGCGACACTAATACTAGCACGCGTGTGGCATCATCGAGCTCCGACTTGCACAAGTATTCAGGCGGACGGACTACCCTAGATCTGCCCGTACGACAACAATTAATGAACCGGCGAACACGCGCTATCACCCTGGGGGCCTATTCTCAAATCAATCGAAAACGATCGTCGAAAATATTTATTCGATTGTCAACTTTCGATCGAAATAATTAATTCGATTGTTATTTTTCGATTTATGCTATTCTCAAAAGCTAATCGAATATTTAAATATCGAATACGTGATTTTCGATCGAGTTTTCTATTATCGTAATGTTATCACTAAAATGCTAATTATTCCATGAGATAGTAATTTATTCAGCTGATAACAGTTGCTAATGGATGAGGATGACGGATAATATTATGTGACTTATTAGTTATTTGTTATAAATGTTATGATTTTTTTTTAAGTTAATTGTTACGGACTTACGCTGTTGTTAAGTAACTACGTGTAGTAAACCGACAGAGTCGCTTTCCTATAATTATACATCATAAGGACTTTGCACTATATGATATATTGATCAACGACTATACCACGCCCTGAGGTTTATTACATATTTCAAAATCGCATAACGATTTCTAATAATACATATTGCCAAATAAACCAGTTCACAACTCAAGGTTTATTCGACAACTTTTAACATTTACGCCGGTACCTTTCATACCGCCGGTATTCCTTTGATCCACCTCCGAGTCTCTACCGTGTACCTAATAACCTAGGGAGACTTTGTATATATACTAGTCTCCGTCTGTATCTAAATTAGAATTAGTTCAGTGCTAGTACGACGTACCTACTTGTAAGTACTTAGTATTAACCACTAATCTCTCGGGCAGACGCTTATCGCTCTGTCCTCAAATTTCTATATTCAAATGTAATACCATTATATTATTATTAACTTTAAAATAAATTACTTAAATTATAACGTTGTAACTTGTAACTCTGCAACCTTTTCTCCTACTCAATCATCAACGTCGTCAAACTCAAAATATAAGCGTTAGTGAGGGATCACTGCATACGGCTAACGAGCTAACGCTAATTTAATAAACAGCTAAACATTTAAATTTGCAAAGTGATCGTGTAAGTTCTTACTATTCTCCACTAACCACCTTTTAAAAACTATGGATAAAGTAAATAAAAAAACTAAAGGAAAATCTGCATCATTAGAACAAAAAGATGCGCTGGTTGAGTTTATGGTAGCTCACCCTGAGCTACAAAAAGGAAAATTTGGTCCAAACTTTACTCATAAACAGGCAAATGCTCTGTGGAATGAAGTTGCTCAGGAACTTAATAGTATAATTGGTGCAAATAAAAATGCAGAAAAATGGAGAAAAGTAAGCATAATTTAAAAATGTGAGTTAATTGCATACTGAATTTTGTTCTATTTTTTACTCTAATCAAAACAATGACAGTGTTGGATTGACATGAAATCCAATACCAAGAACAAAAACGTTCAGTTAAGGAAAAGTCTAATGAAAACTGGTGGAGGAGAAGCAAGTGATCTATTTGATTTAGAACCATTAGATAATAAAATTTCAAGTATCATTGGTGATGTTTCAATTTTTGGACAATCGCAAACAACTGAGCCAATAGTCAACTTTGAGGGCTACAATTGTGTAGTTATTGGTTCAAAAAGTATCATTGATCAATAAGTTTGGTTATACAATTTATATTTTAATTGGTCAAATATAGGTTATTTTTGTTTAATGTTTGTAGCTATTAAAATGTTCTATAGGTATTTATTGTATATTATTTTTATTGTAGGCCTTTAAAAAACATAACTAACATTGAGTTTTCTTCGGAAGATTCAATAGCATTTCCAAATAATGGTGATCAATATTCATTGCATACACCAAATTTAACTGCAG